CGGGAGTCACGGTTAGTCGGGATCGCGAACACAGATTGTGCGCGATGTAGCTCGGCCAGAACGGAAAAGAACATAACGGAAGACACGATAAAAGAGAGACGAACAAAGGTCGCAAACGCGAAGAGACCCACGATGTCGCGAATGCTTTTACAGGCGCGAGGGCGAAGTGGCAAAGTGGAACAACAAGGACGAGATAAAACGAAGGTGAAATCTGCAAATCTGCAATCTGACTGGATAAAACGAGGAGAAATGTCCTGAGGTAGAAAGGAGACAATATCGCAGTGTTAGAGATCTTATTATCGTGATCGAATGCCTATGTCCACCAGAAATTCTATATCCATCGGAAGATAAGCAAAGATATGACGAAAATAGGCTTTCCGCTATACAGATTCCTCGCGTAGCGTAGCTCTTTCATCTGCTGATCCGCCGAGATAAGGTGAAGATCGCGAAATAGGGAAGATGACTGCTGACAATTCAGTTGATTGACGGAATGCCGTTTACTTTCCGCGCGAGACATCAACTTGGGCGTTAAAGCGCTCTTCCTGGTTTAGTACAATCGATATGCTTGGATGGTGTTGCCCTTGTGATATAGCCGGATATGCCTATAGGTATTGGAGGACTTCCTGTCTTTCTTTCCGCAGTAGGGACATTGGTATCTCGGTTCCTTTCCACATTCATGTCTGAAATGTGTCAGCATGTTGCCCTTTTTACTGAACGAGCTGCAGCATCTCGGACAGGAATATCTCTGGCCGTGTTCATCGTTCTCGGCGACCTGACGACTTCTACGGAACACTGGAAAAAAAGAAACAGATCGAGTTCGAGGTCAGTAAAAACATCTCTACAAAATATATCGACGTATCGAATAAACAAGGCAAGATCTCAAGTGGGAAAATCAATCTTAGATTCAAGAAAAAAAAACTATAGCCTTTCGCTATTAATACTTACATGATATCAAATTGTGTCGTATTTGACAATATATTTTAATGTATTTATTACAAAACTTTTCTTCTGTATTTTTTTTTCTATTTTATGAAACCAACCAGAAATCTTGTCACACTTAGCTAAAATATTAAATAATAATTCTTAATATAATGAAAGCTTCGCGTAATTAACGTAATCTTGATATATTAGAAGAGATATATATTTAAATAAAAGATATATTGAAATAAGACACATTTTTTTTATACTGCATAATTAAATAATAAGACAAAACAAATAAAATAAATAAAACAAACTCTTACTATATATATGATTATCTTAATCAACACGATTACGGGATCAAATTTCAAAAATTCTCTTCAATATAACTCAAATTACTTAAGAATGTAAAATATAAAATATAAGAACAAAAAAATTAATAATTTTTATTGGCATTTATAATTTTTACCTTTCGTTTTTAGAAAAACTACTTGTGTCGTGTTATTAATAAAATAAATATAACAACTATAAAAAGAAGATAGTAAACATGTTATATTTTTATATATTTTTATATATTATTTTTCTCTTTGACGATTTTGCACGAACCAATCCAACCATCAAACCTGAAAAAGAGAAGCGTAAAAATATTCCAATTGCATAAAATTGCCATCTGAATACTTTTTTTAAAGAAAATCAACAGGGAGTGCAAAAGGGTAATATCGCTATCTCTCCATATATACAAACAACAATTTTTATTGTTCAAACAACAACTTTAATTTCTACGAAAGTATAATTACAAGTTTACAGCGTCGTATTTCGTAATGCAAATTTTACCAAAAATGTACATACAAACCAAAAATTTCTAACTTACATAAAATTTTGTTGTTCTATAACATTTCCAAATAGAGAATATCTGAGATGCAGAAAAAACAGTATATAATATATACATAATTATATGCAACCAAGCAAAAAAAAAAAAAAATAACTAATTACTATCATATAATAGCATCTTTGCGGCTTTTATCTAATCAAGGAAAGTAAAATCGCAAACATAAATGATAGAAATTCGCGGTATGTACGATATATTTCACAAAAGAGGTATATATTATAATTTTTTTTATTTTTAGGAAAAGTTTAAATAAGATTATTTTCGATAGATATATCAACTTGAGCTTATATATAATAAAAAAAACAACAAAAACGTAAAATAAAGAAATCAAGAAAAATACGAACAATTAAATACGTTATAATATATATATTATATATAACACGTGTCAAAAAAATTAAATTCTTTAAAGAGTTAATATTATATCTGAATTATCAAGCTTATTAATTAAATATCAATTAACCAGTTAGACTAGTTAGCAAATCAGTTAGTCTAACTCGCTAATCCCGGTATTGATAACCTCATATTAATATAGTAATATATTTAATCTATAATCAACACCTCTAAATATATATAAATCAATAGGGACAAATTTCAAATCTGCAACAAGATGAGGTCTTGCATATTTCTTTTGAAATGCGTGTATATACATGTCTAATATTTCGGGATTAAAGCAAAAGTAATAAATATTCATAAACTCGTTCAAGGCAAATAGAGGGAAAATTTTTCTCTCGTAAAAAAAAATTCTTCGCTATCAGCATTGTGTCCTGCATCCCTCTCGTTTCTACTGCAATTTCGGCTTGAAGAAGGGCATGTCTTTGTGAATCCTCCGCACGTGCTTGTACACGTTTGAGCTGTACTTGGACTGGTAGTCGCAGTAGATACATCGGAAATAGAGATTTTCGCGATGATCGCCGGGAGGTCGATGATGCCGCACCATACAATTCTTCGGCGGAAAACTATGGGAAATGGTCGAACCGATATAACGTGGACAGTCGGACCAGCCGTCGCTGTAGAGCATGGATCTACCTGGAAGAATTGTTATATAGGATCAGAAGGATTGAGCGAGCACTTTTGTTTCAAGCTTATAACGCTCATTAATCAACGCCTAGACATTTCAATAGTACACATATGTGATTCAAACAAATCCCGATTTGGCTCAAATACACACTTCTGACCTGGAAGATGCATTTATCATCGTTATACACACAAAAAACACTCTTCAGAAATATATAAATAATTTGCGAGATATCAAGCAAAAAACACAAAAAGCAAATCTACGCTCGAATCATCAGTGTATTTCGAGGAGCGAAAAAAATGATATCGTTTTATGAAGATTAACATATGATTTAAAATTGAAGCAATTCGAAGATTCTCCGAAAAATTTAATTAGAAAATATTACTAAATGTGCGATTATCTTCGTCGCAACTCATTACCGTCCTGTGACAATTTACTTCGATCGATTCAACCTTAATTGATGAAAGAATGCATTTGCAATAATTGGATAAGGAATTAGCTATAAAAATGCAACATAAAAACATCATGCGCATTATAATGTAGTGCTTATAAAAATACAAACAAATCTCAAACAATTGATTAACTAAACATCTTTTATCATCATTTAACTAATGATTCGTTAATTACAAACATATTCGAATACATATATATACATTTATACTTATATTTATATTTATCTATTTATACATATTGATATAAAATGTTATTACAGTGTACACATACTAGTCAACAATCTTTGCATTTATTTTTAACTTTATCTTTGGTCACAATATTTCCATTTTTCCATTTTTCTCTTTCAAGTAACGCAGCGTACGGAGAAATTCAAACAATTAATTTAACATATTATAATATTATAACATGTTATAAATATGTTATACATAATATTGTATTATAATATTTATAACATTATATATACAAAAAATTGTATATATTATTAAATATATGCAGTTATTATTTACTAAATCACGTGTACATTTCAAGAAATATAATATAAAAAATAGGAATGTTTATAATTTCAGGTTTCATATATCTAAGAGAAAAATTAGACTAATTAAAATAAACATATTGAAATTCAATATTTAAGTTTCTAATATCCAGGAGGTATGATCTTTTAAATGTGGAATAAAATGTAACAAAGCAGTTAAATGCAAAAAATATATAAAATAAAATGTACAATAAATTAAAAGATACAAAATAAAGAATTCAAAATCTTGATTCTTAAATTAACAGAACCAAGATTTTTAAATCTCAATTATTTGGAACAACTAAATAAAGTCAGTTCTCAAAAAAAGGAATATTTCAAAAATAACTTCAGCAAGAATTTCTATTATACAGTCCCAGATATCGAAATTAAAAGTTTGCTTTGACAAAATGTATTTTCAATATTTCTTTTTAATTTGTCTGTTTATTATCGAAGTAACTCTAATATTGGCAGACATATTCTCGTGAATTATCCGCGAGTATTCAGAGGAGTTACTTCTCATCGTATTATCATAATATGCATATTTATGCATATGGTTCGCTTATTTTTAATATTTCGATTTTGTCGCAAGATGTACAAAAAAAAAATAGGATGTGGATATCTATACAGATCTATATGTGATCATTGAATCATCGCAGTATATGCACATATAACGTAACTTGCACATTCGGCATATAACTAATAACTCTTTTTTATCAGTTAAATCAATCAAATCGCGTTTTTTTATCTAAACTAAACAAAAAAAATAATATATCAATATATATTAAATAATGTATCAATATATAGAAAAAAACTGCCAACACTTATTCTTACAAAAAAAATTAAGAACTTTTAATTTTTATAAGCCACACCAAATTGTGATTTCACAAATGAAGAAAACCGTGAAAACAATTCTTGCAATTCTTACACTCGCAATAAATAAATATATAGCTTCTCCAACCAAGTAGTTCAGTTTGATAAAATAGACGCACCAAAAATACATGTATATAACATGTAAAAATGTGGACTGATTAAAAAAGAAATAATTGATAACATTGTGACGGCCCTTTATTATATTCCCGTGTCGCAATGTTAAAACGAAGATCATCTCCGGGACGACGTGCGAGTATTTTGTATTTTGAGTTCTGATCAACAAGGACCGACATAAGAGATTTAAATCAACTATTCGGGTGCGTTATTGACAGCTCCGCTGTTTTTAACTATTTCTTGCGTTATTCTTATATTCCTACTACATAATAAAGTTCCTCTGTTTCACAAAGCAAGTGTTCTTCATTTTGAGTGTAGTTGTGTCGCGCGTGTTCGATAGCTCGATATCGATCTGCGGACGTAACAATATAATTCATGGTATATAATATATTAAGCGATATTTTAAGTAATAAATGTAAAATTAAAAATATTACGCGCGCGTTTGTTATGATTTATATTTTCAAACTAAACAGTCTCATTGACAAACAATTATTTATGTAAATGTAAAATTAAAAAATCAGTTGCATGTTTTTCTTGCTTTCGATAACATAAATCATAAATTAAGATTAATATTTCGGGATGTAAATACTGCTAATCCTTGATAAGTAATAAACACAAATGGAGCATAAAGTATGCGAATTAGGAATGTCAAAGTGTCACTGTTTTCAATTCTTTCTTTTATCGCCTGTTTGATGACAGTTTTACAAATCGGATACATTAAATTGAACACACAAGTTAGCACACAATTCCCTGGCATATTAAGGAAGATTAAAATTACACTATTATTATGTAACAAGAGCATAAAATATCAATTGTATCTCATAGTAAAGAGAAAAGGATTTAATTCAAAGATTTAAAATAACACAGCGCGCGTATATGTGTGTGTGTGTGTTTTTGTTTCACAGTGATTTAAAAAAATGAGTCATAATATGGAGATCATCATTAAAAAAAAAAAAAACGTGGAAATGATAAAAAAAGAAAAATATTTTCTAGTTTTAATCTTTCGCGATAAATGCCAAATCTTTAAAAAAAATGAGTTTATTTATAACTGCTCAAAAAAATGTTATACATGATGATAAGAATGCTACTCATAATTTACTAGAAACTTCAACACACATTTGTAAATAAGACATTAAATAAACATTGTATATTGTGCGTTTCAAACAGATTTACAATATATACATGGCGTATCTGTACAAAACTTAGGGCTATTAATTTCCAATATATAATCTTAACCCTTAATAAGATACGTGGAGCCTCTCAGACTTTAAAAATTGAATTTTTCTCTTCTAGCTGATGTTTGAAATAAATTTTTCTTGTATTTTTTGTGTGTTCCTAAATCTTTAAAAAACTTATAGAAATAATTAATATTCTGTTCGCAATATCGTTTTAAAAACATAAGACAAAATGGGCCTGAGAAACCCCTCGTGATTAATCGTGTCAGATTTTCAGATTACCAATGTTACCAGTAACCAATTAAAAATTAATCGCAGAGAATGCTTTAAAATATTTATATCCATGTTTAGTTTGTACCAAAAAATTTACATAAAAAAAATTAAAATGACTATATCTGACATAGAGAGTTTCTATATGTATATCTCGTTATAAATATATATTTATATTCACTTTACATTACAATATAATTACCTAGCAAAACTTGATTAATCGACTATGCGACAAATACGCTAATCTGTTCTTCTAATTCATAATAACAATTACTTTCCTTTATACGCGCATAAATTAAATATAGTAACTAAACAGGTTCTCTGCGACGTAACGCGATAAAAACGTTATTATTTTTATCATAAAAACTCTTGCGAATCACGCATAATCATTTTCTATTGTTTATTTTTTTCGAGAAAAATAAAAATAGTACTCAGATTTTTCCGATAAAAAACTCAGGGATAACCGTGAGTAAAAAGTTCTGTGATTAAACTCAAATATAAAATACATTTCTTATTTTATTAATTTCATAAAAATTTAATAGCTAGCTAGTAGAGAAAAATGAACATAAGATCATATATGGCCTTATATAATCTTATATAATCATATAAATCCATTTTTTTCTTGAGTAGCTTTTAGCTATACATGTAAGAGAAAAGAGCTCTCTTGCCAGGAAGAATAAATCCGACTTTCCCCATTCGTATATAAATTTTACAGATTAGGTCAGTCTCCGTTTAGTACAATTTTACAAATCGCAGCTCCATGTTGTGATGCTTCACCCGGATGTGCCTGTACACAGCCTGTGTATACTTGCTACGCATGTCGCAGTGCGGGCACTTGAAGCGTGGCATGTCGACGCACTCCAGTCGATAATGTCGGCTCATGCCGCCGGAAGTGCGGAAGGTGCGAGCACACCTGGGACAAGGAAAACCGCGCCGGTTCAAGGAGGTCTGAAGCCTGAGCGTGTGCCGGGAATTCCGCACTGTACCGTGATACTTCTCCAAGACGATCGGTCTGAAGTCTGCAAGCATAAATAGAGACGGAAATCGTATATTAGAGCAATGATGAGCGACCGATCTCTTAACAGCGGGGAGAATTCGAGAAGAATTCAACGGGGAGGATGGGAGTGCGCGATGGAAGAGGAACTTTCGAGATTTTGCCTTCTCCTCGGGATCGAAGATTACCTTGGCCTGGGCCTTATCTAAATCGAAACGATCAGATCTTAAATCGTATTGAGCTTATGACAATCATAATAATAAAACGCCATAATTTTTTTTGTTTTCACAAAATATTCGAATGTATACAAAATATACAGCGTACTCTTTCGGATAATCAACAGATTATCGCCACACAATTCTCGTTTCTCCGTGCTGTATCTCGATTTACGAAAAGGCACACACGATTTCATCGATCAACCTTCGATAGAACTCCGAGGAGCAAAATGCCGGTTAATGACGAGAAGATCTCACTCTTCTCAGAGCACGCAAGTGCAACGGGCATTTCGCTTTCATTTATTCTGAAACGAACAATGGGTATATCTTAATATCGTACATATCATATATGAGCGTTCTCCATGTGAACTACGGCGCGTTCGACCGGATTAGTAGAGCTTGTTCAGCGTGACCTCCTGTCCCGGATGGAGCTTCCTAATATGATTATAGATCGAATGGGACCACTTGCTGACGTGGCCGCAATAAGGGCATTGATACCGCGGCAACGAATCGCATTCGTATCTATAATGCCGATACATCGAGTAGCTCTGTGAGAAGAATTTCTTGCACTTTGGACATTGATATTTCCGGTTGGATGAATCAATCGCGTTCTCCATCGCCTTGTTTAACTGCTGCAATCGTCGCGGCAACATCTGGGATTGGTCTCCTTCGGTTGGCTCGTTGTCCCATAATTCTGAAACCGATATCATCTCGCGTTAATAATCGCTTGCATTAATAATCGTTAATACGCGACTACCAATCGCAAAGCACTCTACATAGAAAAAAAAACAAGGGTTAATCCCCTTCGATAAAGCATTTGTACATTTGAGCACAAATTGATACGAATGAACACAAAAGGTAGCACGAAATTTATGCTGTTTGATGCAACAAATAGATTGCACTCTTTCGATAGATATTAATCTGTCTCCCCATAATATTTTTCGAAAATTTATAACAGCAAGGCTGTTCCAAAACCTTAAAAGACTAGTGTATATTCTTATTATCTAACATACTTGTTGCAATGGATGTAGTCGACATATTTATAACGTTTCTGACTTCTTCGTCGTTGTATTCATATTTATTTATTAAGGATTTTGGAAAGTTGCACCTAGAAAGAAATCTGTAACAAGACACATTCGTAGTCAATTATCAGTACTTATTTTTCGGATTAATAGTGATGCAGCTTTCGCGAGTTTACCTCAAGTTCGTTACAATACGCTAGAAAAATAAGCACAGGTTTCTGGTCTGCATTCTTAATGAAAATCTGTCGCTACAGTATACTATACACAACATTATCGTCAAAAAGTTATTATCTGAATAATAAAAAATACTAAAGGTTCTTTTTTTTTTAATTTTCTTTATTTCTTTACATTTGACTTGGAAACGTTATATACAGTGCAGTCCTGAATCAATTAGAATTTGTAAAATTTAATTCAAGAAAGAAATTGCAGGAACATGTAATTGTATTAATTATAATTTAGAGATGACTCGAAACATAATACTAAATAAATACTAAAGCAGAACAAATCGCGGATCACATAAATATACATACAATGCCACAACAACATGTAATCTCTCTTCAGCGTGATTCGTATTGATTTTGATAAATCTCCAGAGATTAGTCTCTTATACGCCGTAAGCTTAACATTTGTACAAGATATAAATGCGCACGTAATTCTCTCTTGTCGAGTCAAGAGCGTCATACTTGGAAAACAAAATTTTCACGTTAAAGTGACAGAGGCCGCACGCACGCAACCTGGTTACAATACCAGGAGAAATAAAACTTCCCTGAGACGTTACAAGCAACCAGATTTAACAATTAGCTCTGAAAACTTCAATCCCCTTCGTTCCCAGCGAGTTTCTTCGCGTTGTGGCTCTCGATGATCTTCGTGACTCATCGCGCAAGCTCAATAGAGCTTGACGAGTGTCACCTGCTCTTTCGGGTGCATACACCTGACGTGTTGATAAATGTTAGAGGTCTTCTTGCTGCAGAGATTGCAGTACGGACACTTGTACCTAGGTGCCTTGCCACACTCGTATCTGTAGTGGCCGAGCATGGTATCCCGTCTACCATAGCCGTTGTTGCAATTAGGACAGTGGTACTTGCCCGTGTCCGAGTTGTACTGTATGTCCCGCTTCTTCACATACCTCTTCCGACGCATAGCGTGAAGCTGGATTAGTCTGTCACCTACAAAAGATCGTGCTACGGTCAACATCGTCGTATGCTCGGGACGTGTCACGGAAACGTGTCTTCTGTTCGAGAACAAAGGCGTCAGAATTCCATGCAGATGGGATATTCGCAATAAGAAACAAGATAGACGGAGGAATAGACAGAGAGATAGACAGAAAAAGAGAGAAAAAGTGTAAAAGTGAACAAGAAAGAAAAGTGTAAGAGAGGCAAAAAATTGCGCAAATTCAAGTCACATAAACATGATTTTCTTAAGAGCAAATTGCTTCTCTAGTAAAATGTTTTTATTCAAACTTGAAAACAGACGTATGTTCGATACCTTTACATGACTAAGTACGTTCTCAGATAATGAGACATATCCTCGATATTATTCCATCTATCGCAGGTGAAAAAAATACACCTCGAGTATCGTGGCTATTTCTATTCAATATAATTTCTTTCTATTAAACTCGCCTTTGAAAGATCGGCGATCGTATCAATTCAAGTTCGACATTTTCGAAAAACAGTGTTATTTTCACTAATAAAGTTCACTTTGTGCTTTCGAAATGTGGCTTAAACTCGAACAAAGTATCTCATGAGCTTGTCTAAATTTAAGATCACGTGCAACTTGAAGCACGTAAAAAAATCAAGTATATCAACTATGTAAGTACCGCATTAAATAAATTTGTATATAATATTATGCAACGATTGCACAAAACACAGGTACAAAAGGGGCGGCATTCTGTCAGGAACGCACGCAACTCCAGGAACAAAAATCCAGAAAAGAGAAGATATTCTTCGCTGGTCTCACGCTGGTCTATCGTCGGGGAGAGAAAATACATGGGGAAAATACGCAAGGCGGCGGATCACAGGCGTTAAAGCGACGCTCGCGTGGAAGTTCTCGTTTGCGCGCGCCGTAGCCGGCCGCGCGACTTGTCCTAGAAGAGCGTGTTACAGATGACCGGCTTCGACGAGTGCTTGTGCCTAATGTGATCCTGGATGTTGAACTTCTTCTTGCTAAGCTTGCCGCAGTACGGGCACTCGAAGCGCGGCGGTTTGCCGCAATCGTCGTACTTGGAAAACAAAATTTTCACGTTAAAGTGACAGAGGCCGCACGAACGCAACCTGGTTACAATACCAGGAGAAATAAAACTTCCCTGAGACGTTACAAGCAACCAGATTTAACAATTAGCTCTGAAAACTTCAATCCCCTTCGTTCCCAGCGAGTTTCTTCGCGTTGTGGCTCTCGATGATCTTCGTGACTCATCGCGCAAGCTCAATAGAGCTTGACGAGTGTCACCTGCTCTTTCGGGTGCATACACCTGACGTGTTGATAAATGTTAGAGGTCTTCTTGCTGCAGAGATTGCAGTACGGACACTTGTACCTAGGTGCCTTGCCACACTCGTATCTGTAGTGGCCGAGCATGGTATCCCGTCTACCATAGCCGTTGTTGCAATTAGGACAGTGGTACTTGCCCGTGTCCGAGTTGTACTGTATGTCCCGCTTCTTCACATACCTCTTCCGACGCATAGCGTGAAGCTGGATTAGTCTGTCACCTATAAAAGATCGTGCTACGGTCAACATCGTCGTATGCTCGGGACGTGTCACGGAAACGTGTCTTCTGTTCGAGAACAAAGGCGTCAGAATTCCATGCAGATGGGATATTCGCAATAAGAAACAAGATAGACGGAGGAATAGACAGAGAGATAGACAGAAAAAGAGAGAAAAAGTGTAAAAGTGAACAAGAAAGAAAAGTGTAAGAGAGGCAAAAAATTGCGCAAATTCAAGTCACATAAACATGATTTTCTTAAGAGCAAATTGCTTCTCTAGTAAAATGTTTTTATTCCAACTTGAAAACAGACGTATGTTCGATACCTTTACATGACTAAGTACGTTCTCAGATAATGAGACATATCCTCGATATTATTCCATCTATCGCAGGTGAAAAAAATACACCTCGAGTATCGTGGCTATTTCTATTCAATATAATTTCTTTCTATTAAACTCGCCTTTGAAAGATCGGCGATCGTATCAATTCAAGTTCGACATTTTCGAAAAACAGTGTTATTTTCACTAATAAAGTTCACTTTGTGCTTTCGAAATGTGGCTTAAACTCGAACAAAGTATCTCATGAGCTTGTCTAAATTTAAGATCACGTGCAACTTGAAGCACGTAAAAAAATCAAGTATATCAACTATGTAAGTACCGCATTAAATAAATTTGTATATAATATTATGCAACGATTGCACAAAACACAGGTACAAAAGGGGCGGCATTCTGTCAGGAACGCACGCAACTCCAGGAACAAAAATCCAGAAAAGAGAAGATATTCTTCGCTGGTCTCACGCTGGTCTATCGTCGGGGAGAGAAAATACATGGGGAAAATACGCAAGGCGGCGGATCACAGGCGTTAAAGCGACGCTCGCGTGGAAGTTCTCGTTTGCGCGCGCCGTAGCCGGCCGCGCGACTTGTCCTAGAAGAGCGTGTTACAGATGACCGGCTTCGACGAGTGCTTGTGCCTAATGTGATCCTGGATGTTGAACTTCTTCTTGCTAAGCTTGCCGCAGTACGGGCACTCGAAGCGCGGCGGTTTGCCGCAATCGTACTTGAAGTGTGCCGTGACGGCGCTCTTCGTGGTGTAG